CCCCTCCCTAATACCATTCAAACATGGTGATTTATGATTGTTAATTTTAAAAATAAATATTTTAATTTTATTTTTTATGAATTTTTATTTATTTTTCAATGTTGATTGAAATTAATCTAATAAAGACTTCAAAGTATTTTTAATTTTATAAAATTTTTTTCTAAAAAAACAATCTATTTAAATAAAAATTAAAAAGAGGAACATGTTGAAAAGCAATTAAAACGTTAAAATTTAAAAAGAAACTATTTTTCTTATAAACAACTTTAACTTCCTCGTTCGATCAAAAAAGGTTTTTGAAATGATCAGACCCTCTAAATTTTATAAATATGTACAAAAATACTTTTCCATTTTGATTTTATCATAGTATTTGATTTAAAAGTCAGTTTTAGATTCCCATCTTTTCTCATAAAGCGGTATTCGTTGGTAAAATGAGTGAAATCATTTGAGGAGTCATATCATTCAAATTAAAATTTATTCATACTTCAAAGGATCGGTACTTTTCCATTATGCCACCTCCCCTTAAATTAATGTTCCGAATGTCATATATATGGTAAGGTGCTGAGTCGAACAGTACCACTCTTTCCCGGAAATGTTTTTGGATCGAGATGCATATTAATATTTTTTGCCACACAAATGGCCCTATGGTTTTTGACATTTCGAGCCCTCATCTTGATCCAGACAATTCCATAAAAAAAGATGGTAACGTTCGACTCGGCACCTTTTATTACCCTATATATGACATTTTGAACATTAATTTAGGGGGAGGTGGCATAACGGAAATGTACCAAGAACTCCATGAATACCTAACTAAAAATTCTCAAATGCTGAAATCCTTTAGAAAATACTCTAACATATGATTGCTAATAAAGATAAAAAATATTTGCTGAAAACTTAATTTTAAAAATCAAAAAATCCAAATTAAAAAAGCGACACTAATTCTGCCCAGAGTTAATTACTCTAACGGACACAGAAAATTAAGGCTTACCTATATAGTGATTTAGTCTAGATTTAGACATGTATATGCATTATCTTGATTGTATATTTATATATCATTAAGCAGTAATCATGAGTATCCGTAAATCTTGTTAAATTAAAAAATATTTTTCCGAACATTGTTCAGATCAGAATAAAATTTATTAAGTTTCTCAATAATTTTCAAATTTCATATAACTTTTATAAAATAGCCAATATGCAGGTAAAACTATTTTTTGTTTTAAAAAAGAATATTATTTTAAGAAACAGTTTAAGCTTATCTGTTTTGTTATGGTTATAATGATTGTGTACAGTGAAAGGGCTTTATCTGCTTTAAATCAAGGTATTACACTTTAATAAGCTTGGATTCACCAAAAAAATTTAAGGTGATGTATGTGCTGAGGGAGAAATATACAAAGATGATTGTCCTTCCCATTGTGATCCAACTTGTAATAATCTTGGGAATATTATGTGCCTTACAGTATGCTGGTCTGGATGTTATTGTAGAGACGGATATGTGCGAGATGAAAATAGAGTTTGTATTCCTCAAGAGGATTGCCCTAAGTAATACGAATGAATAAAAATGAACTTAATTGATAAAGTGATATCCTTTACTATAATTAAAATTCTTTAAAAAAGAAATTGAGGACCCTGATAAAATTTAAGTATAAAAAAGTTTGCTCTTTTTAAAATTTTTTGTCAAAAAAGGAAATAAAAAAAATGAAAGGGATGATTAAATAAAAATTTTTTTAAGTCAAATGACTTAATCACACAGAGAAATTAGAAAAAAATTTTTAAGACGCGTTAAATTTTATTAAACATCCACGTTGAAATTGAAACAAAATCTAACGCTGTTCAAACAAAATGAGAAATTTTTATTTAAATTTGAGTTCCGGAGACAAAAAAGGAAAGCATTCTATTAAAGCCTTTGAAATTTATTTTTTATAAAAATTTATTTTAAGCTTATAATTAAGAAATATTAAAGAATATATCACTGATATGACATATTTATAGTTAAGAATAGGGTTGCCGTTTTCGAGTCGGGCCGACGGTCGAGGCATTTTTTTTCGGGCTTGTTTTTATCGAGTCGGGCCGGTACGAGTCTTTTTCGGGCCTTACTTTATCGAGTCGGGCCGATACGAGTCTTTTTCGGGCCTAACTTTATCGAGTCGGGCCGGAACGAGTCACTTTCGGGCCTGACTTTATCGAGTCGGGCATCGAGACATTTTCGAGTCTTTTTTTAAAAGATTTATTTAAAAATAATTAGTGGATTTGGAGGGATATCTGTGAATTAAAAGGTATATCGATGGATCTGGAGGGTAAAGGAAGGGCTGAAGAGAATTGAAATGGATATCAATGGATTTGAGTGATTAAGGTGATTTAAATTATCAGAGGATTGGTGTGAGATATTGCTAGATTTGGTTTTATTAAAGGAGATCAGATGATTAAGGGGATCAGGATCGCATATCAGATAATTAAGGTGATATATTGTAATGGAATTTAAAAGGATTGAAGAGATTTGAATGGATATCGGAGATTTGAAGGACAACGCAAGATTTAAGTGATATTGTGCGTTAAAAACCAAATCCATTAATAAAATCCCAGTGTACCATGATTGAACTATTCGTATTTAGATAAGGGCTTACTGGAAAGTCAGGAAACCAGATTTCTTCTATTTTTAGCGCCGCAGGCGAAAATTTTGAGAATTTTGACCCCCTGGAAAATTGTGGACTCTCAAAACTGATTAAGTTTAAAAAGTTCAAATGATGATGGGATCCCGCGGAATATATCCTATAAATCCCAGTAATCCAGCTTATCGATTAAAGCCAGTAAGTTCGAGATGTGAAGCAAAGTATGGAGCTAAAAATTCTTCATTTCAGCGCCGCAGGCAAAAATTTTGAGATATTCGGAAGGCTAAGGACCAAATTTCTTTTTTTACAGCGCCGCAGGCGAAAATTTTTCGAATTTTGGAAGGCCAAGGAGCCAGATTTCTCCCATTTTTGTCCACAAATCTGGTAAAAATATTATCGAGTCTTGTTCGAGTCGGGCCGACTTTTTCCGAGACAATTTTTTTCGGGCCTGTTTTTATCGAGTCGGGCCGGTACGAGTCACTTTCGGGCCTAACTTTATCGAGTCGGGCCGTTACGAGTCTTTTTCGGGCCCAACTTTATCGAGTCGGGCCGGTACGAGACTTTTTCGGGCCAAACATCGAGGCATGACTCGATCTTTCGGTCCGAGTCGGTCCATTTTGGCAACCCTAGTTAAGAAAGATTACTTGAGAATCCTCATTACTTGAGAATCCAAAGGGGGGTTTGACAAGAGCATGCTGAAATTTTTAATTTAAAAAAGCCTACAGGGGGGCCAATGTACCCCGAGATATAACTTCGTTCAAATTATCGAATCCGGGACGCCTGGCATGGATTGATTCAGCTCACGGGGGGTAGTCCCGGATTACCTGTGCGTCCCGGATTCGATAATTTTGAACGAAGTCGTACGTTGGGGTGACACCTTTTAGGTATATGTATCTCGTCGATATCTCGAAAAAATTTCGGTTATTAGGAGAGGGTTTTCGAGATACTTTTTAAGGTCTTGAGATATCTCCCTTCAGGTCCGGTCTCTAATTCTAATAATAATTTTTTGAGGTACTAGATCCTCTCCCCTAACTTTGCAGATGTTTTCCAATATCCTCCTCTACTTTATTAATAAAAATAAAAATAAAATTTTCCCCATTCGTCATTAAAAAAAAATATTAAAAATAATAAACAATTTAATTGTCAACATTTTTGTTTACATTTGTCTCTCAAATTTTTCTAAAAATAAAAAAATAATTTTCAGCCGTTTTTGAAACGTGTTATTCCAAAAAATATATTTACATATACAATTTTAGAAAAATTTGTTCAAAACAAACAAAAATATTCCTTTAATTTTAATCATTTAAATAATCCGAGAAATTTGAATTTTTAATTTTGTTTTTAACTTTAGTAGAAAATATTTAAAAAATGATTAAACGGATTAATTTTCGGTTATAAAAGGCTTCTGATAATTTTTAAAAAACACGTTTCAATTTTAAAATAATTTTTCCAGAATAAAATCTTCCTATGGACTTCGTTCCACAACTTAAGCTTATCCGATAAACATTTATCCACCATCCAAATCTCTCTTCTAAACAAATTGAAATCCATGCATCCAGGCATATCAGTCCAATGCATAACCGTTCTTATTATACCGCTAAGATTAGAAATAGGGTTGGGGGCCAGGTTCGAAAGATCAAGCCAACCTCGAATTTTGGCCCGAAAAGGGGCCAAACGACCGGTTCGATAAAAATAAAGCCCGAAAACATGGCTGAACGTCGGCCTGGTCGAAAAATCCAACCCTAATTAGAAAATATCCGAGCTTCTGACACACGAAGCTTTCTTAAAAAATAAATTATATATTAATTTTAAGAAATATTATTTACAAAAATTAAAATAATATTATTATTTATTATTCAATTATTGTGCTCAAATGCTGGTAATATTTCTTAATTAATAAATACTTTTTAAATATGTATTTTTCAAATATTTATAATAAAATATATTTAAAATATACTCAATTTAGAAACATCAAAATACTTTAATTACTTTCGGCATTTTGCTAATTTTATGCTTCACTAAATCGTTTGCGGAAGGTATTAAAAAATAAAGCTAAATTAACTTTAATAATAATAATTTGTTTATTATTTTTATGGTTGGGGGCCTGATCCTCTCGGTCCGAAAAATCGAGTTGTGCTTAGAATTTGGCCCTAAAAAGACTCAGTCGGGAATGCCCGGAAAGATAAAGCCCGAAAAAATGACTCGAACATCGGCCCGACCTGAAAACTCAAAACCGAATTATTCTGATTTCTGTATTTTGAGACTATCTGATTTCTGTATCTAAAATTATAATTAATTCAGAATCAGCCAAGCATTGTGATGACGGAGAAGAATTCAAAAGTTGTTCTTCTCCTTGTGAGCCAAAGTGCTCGGATAATGGAAATGTTGGTTGCATAGATGTTTGTGACAAGCCAAGATGTCAATGCAAGCAAGGATATGCAAGGGATGAAAATAAAAAATGCATACCTAGAGAGAAATGTCCAAAAAAGGGTACTACATGCGCTCCCGGTAATTAAATAATTTTTAAAGGACGAGAGTTTACCTGCTTAATGAGGAACGGATTAAGCCGCAAATTTAACATTAAACTCAGATAGTTTGATTGGGAGAACGGTTAATTTGATTTTTCGAGATCATTATGATCATGTTCAGGACATTTCTACGGTAGACCTTTACTAGAAACACCCCCTAACTCAGTAGATTCATAAATATAACGTCACTCTCTCCTATCCTTTATAGCTTAATTTTTAATACTTTAAAGATTATGGATGTAAGGAAGGCGAAGTATTCAAATCATGCGCCTCGGCATGCGAGCCAACCTGCAAGGATACTGGAGATATCGCCTGTACTCTTCAGTGTCTGCTAGGAAAATGTCAGTGTAAAGAAGGATATGTCCGAGATGAGAATAATACTTGCATTCCCAAAGAAAAATGCCCAAACTTGCCAAATCCCTTCCCTCAATGTGAGATTTTCTGAATATAAATTCAATGAAATCTTGAAGGAAGATCCCTTTCATGCTTTAAATAAAAATTATTTTAAGTTTGTTGTAATCCCTTTCACCCTTGTTGGAGATGTCCTGTCGGACAGCATTGTGTTGGAGAGCCAGGAGCACGCAGATGCGTCCCAACCGTTTGCAATTTATTATGTAGAATTGGCTATGAATGCAAAATAGTTAATGGAAGTCCAACATGTGTTCCATCCCAAAACGGTTGTAGTCTGGTAAAGTGTCAAAGCGGTTATGAATGTAAAATAATTGATGGAAAGCCTCAATGTGTTCCAAAGTGCAGCAAGGGCGAGGAATATAAGGTGTGCCCAACTTTATGTGAACCAAAATGTGGACAAAAGCCTATATTCTGCCCAGCTGTATGCTTGAAACCTCCACGATGTCAATGCTCGCCAGGATATGCCAGAACTTCAGATGGCATTTGTGTTCCTAGAAATGATTGCCCGATATCAGAGAATGCTACGACAGAAGTCCCGCGTAGGCTTAAACATTTAAAAGGCCCTGTTTGAAAAAAAATTTTAGCTTCAACAACACCTCTAATTTGTGGCGAAGGTGAACAAGAAGGTAGCTGTCCGTGTGAAGCTACATGCGCAAGAAAGCATCCAATATGCCCGTTACTTTGTCGTCCAGGGAAACAATGTTTGTGTAAGCAAGGCTATGCTCGTGTAGCAAAAGGAAAGTGTATACCAATTGAAGAATGCCCTGAAGAGCCAACAACTCAAAAACCATGCATCCTGCCTTGCCCACTTGCCTTTTTTTGTAAACTTGTAAATGGAGAACCAACTTGTGTTAGAGCCAAGGATTGTAGTAGAATAAATTGTGGAATTGCATATACATGCAAATTAATTAATGGAGAGGCAACATGCGTTCCGTTGTATGGTAAAAGTACAACAGAAACTTATGGTAATTTTATTGTTTAAAAAATTTGTATGGGGGTTAAAAATGATTGTGTGGGGTGGAAGGTAGCTCACTCCTAGAATCTAATTTAATTAAATAAATAGTAGAAATAAAGAAAATGTGAATATCTGGGTTTATGTAGTCATGATTATGGTTGTCGGATAGTTGGAAATCTTCGGATATCTGGATCCGGTATCCGAACCGAAAATTTCCGGATATCCGGCCTTTTTTCGGATCCGGATATCCGGATCCGACAACCTTATTCGGGATTGTTGTTTTTATAAAGTAAAGGGGTTATAGTGGTTATGGATTTTATTTAAACTCACGAGGCTAATGACCAAATACAAATTAAATTTTGGAATAAAACATTCAACCTCGATTAAATAAACCCCCCTTTCTGAGAAACTGATAAAACCTAAGCACCATAGACCGTATTTTAAAATTAATTTTAATCCAACTTTATATAATTTAATCCGATAAATTTCCTTTTAATTATAAAATAATTAAAAATTAAATAAAATTTAGATGATTAAACAAAATAAAGAAAGAATACTAAAAGAAAAATTAATGAAAAAATAAATTAAATAATTATCAAAATCATAAAATAAAAATGTAATTATTATTTATATAATTTATAAATTATTGTCAAGAATATAATTTAAATAAAAATTTTTTTTTTTCAAGATAATTTATAATTAATAAACTTGTAGGTAAAATTAAGAACAAAAAACTAAGTAAAAATTTTGTACTGAACAAAAATTGATGAAACTTAAGGGATATTCGTAGATTAGTTTAATAGATCACCATACCAAATTTCGAAAAGGTACATTAACTAAGCATGGAAAAACTAAAAAAATTAAAGTGGGTTATAATTTTGAAACGGAGTGTATATCAGAGATCGAGATTTTTGAAAAGTCTGGACCAATTCCTGGACTCTGGGTTTGATATATTGACATGGGCCGGATCCTGGGCCTAGTCCAAAAAAACCCAGACTTAGAAAAAACCAGGAAGGTCAAAAAATGCCAGAGCCTGCACTCTGTGTACATGAAAAACCCAGGCCTTATGCCAGGTCCAGCTCTATCTCTAGTGTATGTTAGCGATGTTAAGTTTTGAGAAAAAAGTCGGATCGGGGTTTGGGTCTTCAAAATTTTCTTAGGATCGAGTCTCGGTACGAAAAAGGTCCAAGATTTGGGTCTAGGGATTCGGTAACCCGTGACATCAGCCTTGTTGTGTTTGAGAAAAATGATGGGAGATTTTATTGTGAAAAAAGCTTTGATTTACTTCCCAAAAAAATTTTTTGTGTTTACAATATTTGAAAATTATTTTTTGTAAATATTATTGTTTACTCTACAATTAACTTAAAATTCAAAAAATAAAATTTTAGTTGATTCAAAATCTCAAATCTATGAAATTTGCATAAATTCAAACAAAGCACCGAATATAAACAATAATATTTTTTATTTTAATTTGCACACTGGAAAACAATTAAATCTTTTTATTATTTGTTGGAAAATTATTTAAAAACGTTTAGTACACCAAGTTTAAGGATATATAAACTAGGCAGTTTCGATAGTTTTTCAGAATCTTTTAGATTTAAAAACCAATTTAAAGTCATTCAAATACAATTACTTGGTTAACTCGAAATCATGGTAAATAAATTAGTTTTAAAATTAATTAGTATTAAAATAATTATTATAGGTATAAGCTTATAGTTATTATTATTATAAGCTTAGATTAATCATTATAGATTCACAAAAAAATTTTGAGTAGGGTAGTGGCTCATAGAGAACCTATGAGATCCGGTACGGAATCAAAAACCTAACAGAAAAACCATCGGATCTTAGGTTCGATCCCGAATGTTTTTTTATATTTCCATTTTATTCAGGTCCGATATGATTGAAATTTTTATCAGAAATTACTTTAACTCGAAAAACGATAATACATACATCAATTTAACATTTAAGAAATAAACTTTAAATGCTCCTGAAAATTTCTATAAAAGATATGACCTTAATCTTATTCTTTAAGAATAATTTTCTCCAACTTGTGGGGGCTATCGCCATTTTTCTGACCCTGACTTGCAATGAAGTATTCGCAGGAATTATAATAAGTATGTATATGTATTATCTAACCTTTAAAATAAATTTAATTAAATAAAAATTAAGATAACTGTACTGATGGAGAGGAATACAAATGTCGTTCTAATTGTGAGGCAAGATGTGAAAACCTTGGGCATGATAACTGTAAAGCAATCAGCGAATGTCAATGCCAATGCAAATCAGGATATGCTCGTGACGCAACAAATTGTTGTATCCCACAAGAAAACTGTCCGATAGCAACTACAACGAAACTGCCTTCTAAAACATCGACAGCGCAAGCTTCAAGTGAATCCAATGAAAATACCAAGAAGCCTGGAGCCTCAGTTGAATCCAACTCCAAAGAAAATACCAAGAAGCCTGGAGCATCAAGTGAATCCAACTCCAAAGAAAATACCAAGAAGCCTGGAGACTCAGTTGAATCCAACTCCAAAGAGAATACCAAGAAACCTGGAGCATCAAGTGAATCCAACTCCAAAGAAAATACCAAGAAGCCTGGAGCCTCAAGTGAATCCAACTCAAAAGAGAATACTAAAAAGCCTGGAGCATCAAGTGAGTCAAACTCCAAAGAAAATACAAAGAAGCCTGGAGCCTCGAGTGAATCAAAGGAAAATACAAAGAAACCTGGAGCATCAAGTGAATCCAACTCAAAAGAGAATACTAAAAAGCCTGGAGCATCAAGTGAGTCAAACTCCAAAGAAAATACAAAGAAGCCTGGAGCCTCGAGTGAATCAAAGGAAAATACAAAGAAGCCTGGAGCCTCAAGTGAATCAAAGGAAAATACAAAGAAGCCTGGAGAATCAAATGAATCCAACTCCAAAGAACATACGAAAAAGCCTGGAGGATCAAGTGAATCCAACTCCAAAGAACATACGAAAAAGCCTGGAGGATTAAGTGAATCCAACTCCAAAGAACATACGAAAAAGCCTGGAGGATCAAGTGAATCCAACTCCAAAGAACATACGAAAAAGCCTGGAGGATCAAGTGAATCCAACTCCAAAGAACATACGAAAAAGCCTGGAGGATCAAGTGAATCCAACTCCAAAGAACATACGAAAAAGCCTGGAGGATCAAGTGAATCCAACTCCAAAGAACATACGAAAAAGCCTGGAGGATCAAGTGAATCCAACTCCAAAGAACATACGAAAAAGCCTGGAGGATCAAGTGAATCCAACTCCAAAGAACATACGAAAAAGCCTGGAGGATCAAGTGAATCCAACTCCAAAGAACATACGAAAAAGCCTGGAGGATCAAGTGAATCCAACTCCAAAGAACATACGAAAAAGCCTGGAGGATCAAGTGAATCCAACTCCAAAGAACATACGAAAAAGCCTGGAGGATCAAGTGAATCCAACTCCAAAGAACATACGAAAAAGCCTGGAGGATCAAGTGAATCCAACTCCAAAGAACATACGAAAAAGCCTGGAGGATCAAGTGAATCCAACTCCAAAGAACATACGAAAAAGCCTGGAGGATCAAGTGAATCCAACTCCAAAGAACATACGAAAAAGCCTGGAGGATCAAGTGAATCCAACTCCAAAGAACATACGAAAAAGCCTGGAGGATCAAGTGAATCCAACTCCAAAGAAAATACTAAAAAGCCTGGAACATCAAGTGAATCCAACTCCAAAGAGAATACCAAGAAGCCTGGAGCCTCGAGTGAATCTAAATCCAATGAGAATACGAAAAAGCCTGGAGGTTCAAGTGAATCCAACTCCAAAGAGAATACCAAGAAGCCTGGAGCCTCGAGTGAATCCAAATCCAATGAGAATACGAAAAAGCCTGGAGGTTCAAGTGAATCAAACTCCAAAGAAAATACTAAAAAGCCTGGAGGATCAAGTGAATCCAACTCCAAGGAGAATACCAAGAAGCCTGGTGCCTCGAGTGAATCCAAATCCAATGAGAATACGAAAAAGCCTGGAGGTTCAAGTGAATCAAACTCCAAAGAAAACACGAAAGAAACCACTACAACTACCCCATCGACCACAACTACTACCCCATCTACCGCAAAAACTACCCCATCAACAACTACTACCCCATCTACCACAACAACTACCCCATCAACCACTACTACCCCATCAACCACTACAACTACCCCATCTACTACAACTCCATCAACCACCACAACTACCCCATCAACAACTACTACCCCATCTACCACAACAACGACCCCGTCAACGACTACTACCCCATCTACCACTACAACTACCCCATCGACCACAACTACTACAACTCCATCAACCACCACAATTATCCCTTCAACAACTACTACCCCATCTACCACAACAACGACCCCGTCAACGACTACTACCCCATCTACCACAACAACGACCCCGTCAACAACTACTACCCCATCAACCACCACAACTTGTCCATGTAATAAAATCTGTCCTTATGGTAGTGTATGCGAAATTGTCCAAAAATGTGTTGTTGTTACCCAACCCACTACTCCATCAACAACTCCCGCTTCATGTACTCCATGCCCACCTAATTGTCAATGCAGGAGGAATATTTATGGAGACTGCGTACAAGTTTACTAAAGTCCAATAAAGATTTAAAGTAAATTATAAAAATTATTACCCCAAAAATTAATTTTAAAATTTTAGATATGTACAAAGTAACAAAAGACAAATGATAAGAAAGAATAAAAATGATAAGAAAGAATATTATAAGTAATATAAAGAATAATTAATTTTATGAAAATTAATCCTGTGATATTCTATACAGTTAATTAAATCCAAATGTATAACTATAAAAATATTTATGTGTAATATTTGAATAAACTTGTTAATTAAATTAGCTATTTACTTAAATTTACCTAAGTAGGTTTCTCATATCTATGTATAAGCTGGGATTTTTATCAAAGATAATTTTCGAGAAAAAAACTTGATGAAAACTAGGCGAGCGATTGTTTATCAAGATTTTCT